TCCCAAAGCACCCACCCACCCATGCTCCAGCCTGGGCCCCCAGTGCCAGCACAGCCCCACACCGCCTGATCCTGATCCCAGCCAGGAAGGTCCTGGGGCATCCCACTGCCTTGCAGTTTGCAGGCTGCTGTGCACAGTGCTCCCAGCTCCAAACCTCTCAGCCCTGCTCCGGGACAGAGGGACGGCCCTGCAGCCTGGCACTGGACGGCCGGAATCCCATTGCCATGGAGGCTGAATTCAGCATGGCTCTGACTCAGAGCAGTCTCATGACAGCAGTTTTGTTCCGGCTCCCATCAGTGAGCCCAGGCAGCTGGGCTTGATCCCCCCACCCGCTCCGGGGCCGCAGGTGGGATCTGAACCCAGTGCTGGGGCAGGTTGACCCCGCAGCAGCTCCCCCATCCCCTTCCTTGTTCCAGGCCCCGGGGACCTGGAGCACCGGACGCTGCCATGTGTTCCGTGGGGACTTTGCCTTTCATCCCAAACCCACACAGCTCACGAGAGAAACATTTAAAGCAACAAGAAAAGCTGGTGAGGGGGGTCCCCACACGGCCCCCAGCAAACCCCTTGCCCCCGTGGCTCCTCACCTGCTCCTGCATCGTGCTGTGGGACCTTTCCCCCTGGCGTGGTGGGTCTGGTACTGTCTGCGTCTTGATGCTCTGAAATCTGTGGTTTGACCACGTGCAGCTCCTGATACCGAGAGCGGTGCAGAGCACAAACCCAGCCCCATGGGAGGAAGATAAGGAGGCAGATGCAACCCTGCTCTGGAGCCCACCCTACGTCTTTTACTTTGTGACCAGGGACAGAAATAGCAGCTCTGCTCAGCCCCTGTCATGCAGGGCTGAGGGACAAGCCTGGGAGCACCCAGCCGTGGGGAGCGGGGTCTGGCCGAGGGCCATGAGCATGCAGGAGACCCCAGCCCACCCTGGGGCTGTTTGCAGCTCCTGCCCCATGGGGGGGGCTGCCTCCGCAGGGCTGGAGGGGAGGCTGGAGGGAAAAGGGCCAAGGAGAGGAGCGTGAGCCGCTGTGCGCTGGTGCTGAGCAGCACACAGGCAGGATGCTGGTCTGGTGGGGACAAGCAGAGCTGTAACTGGTCCAGGAATGGCGTGTCCTGATGGGAAACATGCCAGTTACAGGGGCTTGGGCGGCCCCTGGTGCCGGGCATCCCCCTCGCCCAGGCGTCCCAGCCCTGCTCTGCACCCCCATGCCCCCGTGGTGCGGGGCAGGCGTGCCGCTGGTTGTTGACAACAAAATTTGCAACTCCTCATTAAGGGGCGGATTAGTTCCTGTGGGGCAGAGGCCCCACTTTCCTCTCCCCAGGGGGGAGCAAATTGATCCCCAGCTTTAATGGGCTTCCTGCTGTTTGCTGCGGTAATCCCTCAATCCCCCTTTTCTCCTCACCACAGCCGTCTTTGCCGTGGCTTATCCCAGCTCTGCCCTCGGCCCTCCTGCTGCCTCCAGCCGGGCGTGGGGAGCAGGAAGGGGCCCTGCTGGCCCTGGGAGCTCACTGCTGGTGCCTACAGTGCAATGAGGCCGTGGAGCTGGAGAGCGGCCGGGCAGAGGCAGCCCGGCCCCTGGGCCCTAAGGTGTCCCCAGGGCTCTTTGCTGGAGGGTCTCTCCTCCTCCCCTGCTCTTTTTGCAGTGCAAGGACACTGACTGCAGACATCCTCTCTGTGTTGGCTCTGGGGGTGCCATCCTGCATCCTGGAGGAAGGGGAGGGAGAAGGGTCCCAGGGCCAATACTGGCCCTACAGCCAGCTACGGGTGCAGAGCAGGGACCCTGGGTGGCCCTGCCGGGGCTGGAACCAGCAGCACCCCTGGGGTGTGGGGATAAGGCCAGGTGGGGCTGTGCCTCTCATGGGGATGGACCTGCAGGCGTGGGTCTCATTCCAGTGGTCTCGTTCCTGGCACACAGCTCCAGCTCCCAGTAGCAGAACTCCTGGTGTGCCTCCGGCTGCCCTGTGGTCCCGCTGCACCTGGGGCTTTCTGTTCCCTCTTTCGCCCGCTGGCCCCGGCCTTGGCTCTGCCTGTACAGGAAGCGTCTCCGGCACCCACTGCCTGCAGGTGACAGCCACGCTGCCCTGTCTGGCGGCCGCCCGGTGCCCAACACCGCGC